CTCTAAGGAAATTTTGAAGAAACTTTAGCTCTCCTTGTGCAATATGAAATCTTTAGAGTAGTATTCTAAAATTTCAACCGCCAAGTAGTAAACTCTTCTTACTGCCAACAACCAAAAAAGCAGCAAATTCACTAATTCTTACATTCACATTCAAGTTAGACCCCCAATCTAGGATTTGTTATATAGGTAAACTCATGTCGCAAGGATGTAGAAGATTGTTGTACAGATTATTTTGTCACCAGGTACTAAGCCTAGTTTTCAATAGTTATCTTTTTCTGATCCTCTCCTTTTTCCTCTACCCTCCACCCTCAAGGCCTCAGTTGTTTTCCTCTATGTGTCCATGTGTTCTCATCGTTTAGGTCCCACTTATAAGTAAGAACATGTGGTATTTGGTTTTCTGTTCCTGCATTAGTTTGTTAAGGATGATGGTCTCCAGTTTTATCCATGTTCCCACAGAAAACATGATCTCGTTCTTTTTATGGTTGCATAGTATTACATGGTGTATATGTACCACATTTACTTTATCCAGTCTACCATGAATGGGCATTTTGATTCCATGTCTTGCTATTGTGAATAGTGCTACAGTGAACATACGCCTGTATGTGTCTCTATGGTAGAACAATTTGTATTCCTTTGGGTACATGGTCAGTAATGGGAGTGCTGGGTCAAATGGTAGTTTTGTTTTCAGCTCTTTGAGGAATTGCCACACTGCTTTCCACTATGGCTGAGCTAATTTACAATCCCACCAACTGTGTTTAAGTGTTCCCTTTTCTCCACAACCTCATCAGCATCTGTTGTTTTTTGACTTTTTAGTAATAGCCATTCTGACTGGTGTGAGATGGTATCTCATTGTGGTTTTGATTTGCATTTCTCTAATGATCAACAATGTTGTTAAGCTTTATTTTTCATATGCCTGTTAACTTGCATGTATGACTTCTTTTAAAAAGTATGTGTTCATATCCTGTGCCACTTTTAATGGGGTTGGTTTCTTCTTGTAAATTTGTTTAAGTTCCTTATAGATGCTAGACATTAAACCTTCATCAGATGTATAGTTTGCAATATTTTTTCCCATTCTATAGGTTGTCTGTTTACTCTGTTGATAGTTTCTTTTGATGTGCAGAAGCTCTTAAGTTTAATTAGATCACATTTGTCATTTTTTGTCTTTGTTGCAATTGCTTTTGGAGTCTTCATCATGAAATCTTTGCTGGTTCCTATGTCCAGAATGGTATGGCCTAGGTCGTCCTCCAGGGTTTTCACAGTTTTAGGTTATACATTTAAGTCTTTTATCCATCTTGGATTGATTTTTATATATGATGTAATGAAAGGGTCCAGTTTCAATCTTCTGCATATGTTTAGCCAGTCATCCCAGTACCATTTATTGAATGAAGCCTAGCACAGTAACTGACCCAGAGTAAGTATTCAACAAATGTTGCTACTGTTTAATTATTATTTATTATTTGCTACTGAATCAAAATGGAAACACCAACATTTACTGGATGCCTACCAATATCTGCCAGTTATTACCAATAATACATATCATAATTATTGAAAAAATATAATTCAGTGTATACGATAATAAATAGATATTATCTTTTTTTTTTTTTTGAGATGGAGTTTCGCTCTTGTTACCCAGGCTGGGGTGCAATGGCGCGATCTCAGCTCACCGCAACCTCCGCCTCCTGGGTTCAGGCAATTCTCCTGCCTCAGCCTCCTGAGTAGCTGGGATTACAGGCACGTGCCACCATGCCCAGCTAATTTTTTGTATTTTCAGTAGAGACGGGGTTTCACCATGTTGACCAGGATGGTCTCGATCTCTTGACCTCGTGATCCACCCGCCTCGGCCTCCCAAAGTGCTGGGATTACAGGCATGAGCCACCGTGCCCGGCGATATTATCTTTATAAAATATAAGTAGAATCTTTTTTACTACAAAGTTCTCTGCATTGACACTATACTGGACTTTTCATTTAAAGCTAATTGGTCTAATATGGGTGTTTTTATTCTTTCCAATATTGTAATAGAAGCCTATTTGCTGTTATTTGGAAGGCAAAAGTACTATGTAGGTTTAAATTTGCTATAGGAAATTAAACAAAAGGTTTCACTGGAGACATGGCCTCACTGGAACACCATATGCCATGGAAAAGTAAATACAAAGCTATGGAAGCCAGTGCTTGATCAAAATTATTTAAAGTTTTGAAGAAACAGGGAAAGGTGAAGAAACTAAATGGAAAGATACAGAAAAAAGATCTTAAATAACCATTCCTCAAAATAAAACATACACACACCTTAAAAGTAATGTAAACAATCTACTGTTGCTTATATCATCTTTACAAGGGCTTTATAATGGCTACAATAATAACAGCCACCCTGCAGTGTCTGCTTTTTCTAGCCTAGGCACTGTACTCCACTTCACATGCATTGCTGCATTCAATCCTACTGCAAGCCTCAGAGATCAGTAGCATTACTTTTTTTTTTCAGCTAAGGAAATTGGTGGAAAAAGGTAGCAGATCTCAGAAACAAGTTGAACTGAATTTTCCTCCGTAGAAAAGCATCAGTCATGTGCTCTTCTGGGTTGAGAGAATATAGTAATCTACTCATCCTCTTCACTAAATAATAATGTTCATGGGTCTCTTTCTATTTGGGATTATACCTATTAGGAAGTTTGCCCCCATTGAAAAAGACAGAAAACTTCAGCTCTTGCTTCTATAAATGATAGCTGAGTAAGATGGGCAAATGGTTCATATACTACCATACCCTGCTGAGTGATCCGCTCTTCATAATCAAAGGTTAAGAACTCTGAATAGTCCACTTCATCAGTACAGAGTCAGAGTACAAAGTTAAACAATTACTGAATTCCCAAGTAAGTAGCCACACTTAGCATAAATGCACATATTTTCATACTGCAAAAAAAGGTGAAATTAGAGTTTCACACTAATAGGCTATTAATTAGTCTACAACACAGCATAAACTATGATCTATATCATACATAGACGTATAAATTTTTATAAATGGAAGAAAAATTCTATTACAGATATCTAAGGTTTTACTCTTACCATCTAACATATGTATCTACATTTTTAAGTATCAGATTTATTAGTTCAGCTTAGCAGTCAAATTCTATTAGACTTAAATCCAGGCTCTTGGCTCTGCCCTTTCCTTGCTGTTGATCTGAGCAGCTGCCTGTTGTGTTTGCTTTGGGTGGTGGTGGTTGTTTTAAGTGTAAAACGGAGATAGTGCCAACATTTGACAGGCTCATTGTGAGAATTAAATAAGATGATATATTCAAAGAGCTAAGTATGGTACCTGGTACATAGTTAAGTGTTCGCTGAAATTGTAGGTACTATTATTATCACAAATGTCTCCTAATATTCTAACTATGATGTACACTAATAAACTACAGTATGTATCACAGCATGTCAATGGAACCTATCCCAGTGGGAATGTATGTAACTATTTTAATTAGAACCTGGAAAAGACAGTAGTTTAAACTATGGGTCTCTGCATTTCCTTCTTGCTGTTCTCAGATATAACCACCCCCAAAAAGGGCATTTTTGGGAATCAGTCTCTTTCCAAACTACCAAGATCCAGTTTTGAGGAAGTCCTTATTTGTAAATTATTACAAATATTAAGACTTGTGAGATTCTGAATGGAAATAGCCAAGTGAAGGATTATTTTACAAACCACTAGAAAAATCTCAAATCATATTGTATTCATAGGATGAATTCATAAATACTGATAATCAAATTTAAAATACACATTTTAAATCTTATCCTAAATAATGGTACAGCATTCTACAATATAACAGAAAATAAAAATATTTTATGCTTAGTTTTATAATTATATATATTTTAGATATATTGGACAATCTAATGAAAGAAGCAATGAGTATTTTTTTCCTTGTAGAGCATTAATTTGGTACTAATACCAAATTAAATTAGGATATGGAGCACATAAAAAATTAACATAGCTCCACAGGAACTGACATTAATTTCCTACAAAATTAAAATTCCAGAGGGTCATAAACTAAAGAATGAAAAAGATTATTTTAAATCTCAACATGTGAAAGACACACTAAGTTTTAAGAGACATTTCTCCTTACAAATACATGAAGAAATAGAGTACTTGAATAAGGACAATCTCTTCTGAAATATCAGGCTTCCTATAATTTACATAATGTCGATAGTTTTCTTTTTGTAATGAAGGTTTTGGGCACAATGAATTTCATTTTGTCAGATTAAGAAAAATAACCTTAAGGAAAAAAATGATCACAATAGTATTAATACAATAGTGACATGAAAGAGAAGGATACCTACAGCATCTGAAAATGAATGTTTCTAAAAATAAGTTTATTAGTGTATTTAAAGTTATCTGAGGTCTTATGATTTGGTATTTTAAGTTTTATAAGTGAAATGACCCAGTTTTCACATATTACAATGCTCATTAAAACTAAATATTAAAGGGTAAATTGCTCTTCAATAGAAAATACAGGTAAGTTTTAGTTTTGCTGAAATTAAATTACTTCATAAGAAAGGTTGGATATATTTTGGAATTAATATTGAGAAATTTCAGGTATCTCTCTTGATGTTTACATCTAAAGTGATTTATTTTATTATTTTTTCCCTAAAGTGACTTATTTTCAAACAATAAAGTGACTTATTTCTCAACAAACTTGAGACTTACTTAAAGAAATAACAGCCTAGTATCTTATTGTCCTCTGCTGATAGGAAAGTATTTTCTTTTAATACTGTACTTTGCCATAAAACAAATTTTTCCTTGTTAAAAACACTTTTCTGGATTGTTTTAATAGGCTAGTTCTAGGCTTTAAAGAAAAAAAAATATTTTATAAAGTGTATTGTTACATGATAGAAGAAAAATGAAGATACGCATTTATTTGCATCTCCTTTAAATTATTCACAATACTTTGAGGCTTTCATTCTCTCCGGTTAGTGCAATTTATTTTTCTATGTGTCTCAGTTGCAAACAATGTTATTTAGACTCTAACCTGGCATGCTACCACCTCTGGCCCGCCCTTGAGCCCCTCCATCGCAAAGGTCTCCAGGTGCAGTTTGGGCAGCTGCAGGGTGAAGTCATTCCTACTTGCCGCAGACCATGACAGCGAGATCTGATCTCTGACCTAAAGGGAAAAAAACAGCATCAATGGTAATTCCCCTTCAGACACATTAACTGGGATGAACTGGGTCCCCTTGAGCCCACTGAGTGGACTTGCATTGATCGCTGGACCTGAAATCCATGAATAAATTTAGGACTAATTGATTTTTCGTTGCAAATAAATCTCTAATTCAGAGTGCTGGGGGAGAATGCTAAGAAGAAAAAGCATCCTCCTGCTTGAAATGAGGGAGGGGAAGAAGAGTCACTGGAGCTCTTCTGATCAAGAGGTTTTGAATTATTTTTTCACAGTTCCATCCTAAAAAGAAAAAGGGAAGAAAAAACATTCACAAAGTCAAAAACAACAGTAATCTCCTAATCATTATCACCTGCTTAGTAACATGTTGTGTTTAACTGATATGAACTGATATATATTGGACAAGATAATTATTAGGAACTAATCTTTGAAAAGAAAACTTCAATAATATGTACCCTAGAATTAAAACAAATATACTCAACACAAAAGGAGACTTAATATACAAGCAAAAGGTTTGTTTGCCCTTTTTACTCTTCTAGAATTGCAGGATTTTATTTAACTTGAGTTTTAATGATTAAATACATATAAATCAACACAGCAACACAATTTCTAAACAAAACAACAGATAAAATCAGTAGTATTTGTACTCTATTTTAAGTACGTATTCGTAAAGGCAACAATACAAACACATCACCGACATGGGAGAACCAATTCTCTAGTCAGCATGGAATCACATGCAGTTGATATCACACTGCCACCTTCTGGACAAATGAGAAAATATTCCTTATATAATATAAATGGAAACATTCAAAAAAGACATTATGGTTTTTAATTTCCAAACTTAGTAAAAGCCTTAAGAATCCCACAGTTTAGTTTGCATTTAAAATCAGTAAGCTCTCGTTTCAGTCATATAGTTTAATAATAGGAGTTTTCAATACATGGCATATTTTCTTTCATTATACTTGAATAGGTTTAAAAATTTATCTATTTGCTACCATATATTTAACAAATATTATACAATTAGCTTAATGCCACAGAACAAAAAGTTTTTTTATGAGGTAGTAAAGGTTAATAACAGGGATAACTATAAATATTCATTAAATACACTTATATCTCTAGTTTTATCCAAGCAACTTCAAATGTAACCTGGCAAAAATATAAGATAGAAAATTTCTCCTTCATTTTTCTATTCTACTCGGGCAGCCTGTAAAACTGTTTGAATTATTTTTATTATCTTAATTAGCTACTTAAGATATATACATATTTCACAAAACTATCACATCCTATTGAGTTTCTTTAAGCCAGAAAACACACACAAACATATGACATCTTTAACTGTCCATGCTAATCTATGGGTATAAAAATCCTTATATGTCCCAAGTTGATCCGAAGACTTTCTGTCAATAAGAAAATGTCAAAGTGTATGCTATAAAACATACACTATGATATAATTTTTATAATGATGTGAGTACCACATGCATGCTGGAGTCCCAATTCAGAATGTATATTTATCTGCAACAAACATTCTCTAGAGTCGTCAATCAGGATAAGAATGCTGTTAAACTTACTTAGCATAACAAAATAAATCACATTCTACAAATACATTTGTTTTAGGTTTTATATTTTACATGTATGAATACCTTCTCTTGCTTTTTTTGTCACCAATGTGCACTCAGATAAAAGAAAACATTAATGTGGATTAAGGTTCTGAGAATTTATCAACATCAAACCACTAGTGTTTTGCCTTCTACCCTTCTGAACCATAGTCAATAGATCTAAATATTTTACTGCACCCTGGCCAATTCATTGTTTGATGTTTAAAAACTCACCCAGAATCAAAGAAAATTTATTAAATTTGAGCCCCCAAATGAGATACTATTAGCTTTGAAAGTCAAGTTTAACTGCGATATTGATGATTCTCTTTTTTCTGTGACAAAATTCACTAGGGAAATCCTGGATGTCAAAGTACAAAAGCAGATTGCTAATACGGGCAAAGAGAGGGAGAAAAAAACCATACGCAATGTAGGTATAATCCACAACACAGTTCGAGCACTGAAGGTCCTTTAACCTGATTAGTATTAGGCACCATAATTCATCCATGAAGCTTGAAATACAGTGAACAGTAAGCCACATTTTATATTCTCTAAATAAACATTATGAGCAATGTTAAGCTGTGGCATCTTGTATTTAAAACTGATGTATTGTCATTTCAATATTTTTGGTATAACATTACTTAATTTGCCAAATTAAATAATTCTTTATATTGAATTTTTAAAACTTGCAAAATGCAACTGTTTTTGCTATGCCTAATGACGAACATCATTTTAATAATATGCGTGCTTTAATACTTTCATTTAATTACAAATTATCGGTTGAATGTTGACAGTGCTTGCCATCAAGAGTGAGAGATCCATGATATAAAATAGATGCAATATCACAAATACTTCTACTAAAATTTTAAGAGTTTTTTCCACTTTTAATTAAACTGAAACTTTGAGAGTAGGTATCTAAAATATTCTCAAATATTTCTAGGAAAAATTTTTAGAAAAGTCTTGTAAAAGAATTATCTATAAATTATTTTAATGAGTAAAGGGAGTGAAAGCATCGTGTTGAAAATCTAAAATAGTGACACTAGGATAAGCAAAAATACAATCATGCAGCAAAGGAGAGAAAAGAAAGATGACAAGGAACAGGAAAAATAAAGGGTAGAAGGAAGAGGCTGTTCAGAAAAAATGCAGAAGGCACACCTGAATTTCAAGTTGTGAACAGGGAGATTCTACACAGAACAGTAAAAAAGGACTCTCACCTTATTGCATTAAATTTGTTCATGAAAAGAATAGAACAGGCAAGCTGAGAACAAAGTAACTAATATATTAAAAGAGAGATAATGTGGAATTTCTTTAGAAAATAGAGCCTATTAGATACAAAATTATTATTTTCAAGAATGAGAATCTAAAGCAAATTACTGTCAAAAAAGTTTTGAAGTAATATTAGAATAGTAAAATTATATTTTTCCTCAAAGGGAAAGTAAGTTTATCTTTTCAAGTACAGAGTTTAGTGTGAATTAGGAATAAAACAACCAGCAGTCACCTGCCTGTAGGTTAAATTATAATTTCAAATAAATTATAATTTCAAAAGTCAAACTTTGTTTATAACACATTATTATTCATCATATAATTAAGATTCTATACCTCATTATTCTCATTTATTTATACATGTAACTGACACATGTATACAATGTTTTCCTTCTTCAGAATGCCTACAAGCTCATTTTTAACATATAATTTTTTCATAGAATTTCCCAATATAAATCTCATTATTAAATGTTATACCTTCTATAACATTCTTTAAAATCATGCAATATCATATTTTAAAAGAATTTTTTAAACCTATATTACTTCTACTCTAAAGTTTTGATTTTTAGAAAGAACAGTTTACTTACTCCCTTTCTTATTACATACTTTCAGAAAAGAGACATTTCTAATAGACATACTGTAAAAAAACAAGAGAAGAAAAATAAATGAAACTTTCTAAAAAGTCAAAACAGTGCCATGAAATATATTTATTTCAAGATAAATATCTCTTTAAAATATATTTTATTACAATCCAGTTCTAGATTTAAGTAATCCACAAGATCAATACTGTACTATTCCTATTTCTCTGATTAGCCTTTACTTACAAGTAAACAACCTGTTTTCTAATTGTTATGCTCCTACCAAAACAAATTTTATAAAAAAGCTATTTGTGCTAGGTATCAACTATAAAATTAAATTAGTCAGTTTTAGAAAAATTGCTCACCTCCTTCCATCTTTTATCATGCACGGCTATAAATCCCTCTGGATTCTATCTTCCAATTTAAAAAAAACTCATGATTTACTAGCTTAGCTGTATTTTTACCAATAGGATACCAAGCCAGAAGATGTCAAGGTATATGTAAAAACTGAGGTAGACTTAAAAACATGTAAGAAGATGCACACATTGTCTGAATCCTGAATGCCTAGGAATGGCAACTGATATTGGGGCTTGGTGTCATACTTTTAATCTGCTTAAATTTTATTCGCTCCAATCTATTATGGCCTCCAGTGCTTCAAAATAAACCTTTTTACCAAATATATTCCAATGTGAAAACAGGCCTCTACAATATTTCTTATAATCTCCATTCTCATCATCCTGTGTTCATGTTGTACTTTGCCTCCATTTTCTTGCCCTCCTTTGTCCTACTCCCTCCCTTGTACTTCCTTCCATTCCCACTGATTATTTACTGCTTCCCCTTCTTCCTTATATTTTTCATTCTATGCACTAGAACAGCCTGCATACTATTTTTCTACCTAGGCACCAGAGAGCAGTGTACAGTCAGCACACTACAGCCTGGGAACCAAATCCAGCCCACTGTCTGTTATTATAAATAAAGTTTTATTAGAACTATACCTATTCATTTACCTATTGCCCATGGCTGCTTTCCTGTTACAATGACAGAGTTGAGTAGTTGAGACGAAGACCATAATGGTTCACCAAGCCTAAGATATTTACTATCTGGCCTTTACAGAAAAAAAATGGTCATCCTCTCCTCTGGAGATACAGAAGAAAGATAATATTTTTTATCATTTATAAAGATTTTTTTAAATGACTACCTCTCAAGAGAGAATCTACAATTTCTAGTAAGGCAAGCTTATATCGCCAATACAGGGTACCATCTCAAAGACACTTTCTGGTTCCTTTCTGCAATTTTTCCAGAAATTAGTTACCATCTCCTGATATATTTTCAAGTTTTATACAGTCTAATACACAACTTGACAGGTCCTAACTTTCCTGACCACAGCTAACTTTCCCAGTCATAACTACTGACTTATCCTAATACCAAATTAACATAAATTCTGGTTAAACAAGTAGAAGAGGCATACTGGAGAGTCTTTTGTAAATACAAAGAGAAGGGAACTAGCCAGAGTTAACCATATACTCTGTAATATACAGTAGCAAAAAAACACTATGCT